TTGGGCAGTCAACCATAAATCACCCAAGTTAAATTTGAGCCAAGGACATGTACCTTGAACCAGTCAAATAGTCAGAGGTCAGCTATGGAAACAAGGGAAATGACAAAACGTCTGACAGAGATGCAAGGCATTTCCTCTCAGTAGAACCACTCCAAGCCCCCATGAAGTGACCCAAAGAAATGGGCTTGCATAATATTTCTAGACAGGCTTGAATCCTGACATCTCATTATTAAACCTTCATTCAAAACACTAATCCAAAATAACAATCCTTTCAGAACTTAAGGACTATCAGAACGTAAGGACAAGCTGGAGTGGACAAATAAACAATTTATAGTGCAGGATTCTGCCCAAGATACCCCCAAACATTTGCAATCAGGCAGCAAGCACTGTATCTAAGACAAATGGAATAGGCATGGGAGAAGCAGACTTCGCTGCTTCTTTCTCCCCATGGCCATAATTTCAAGTGCCCTGAAATTATTAGAGATGGTCAGTGGACCCTGCTGAACTGGGTGTATTGTAATAGGAGGACTCCTGAACCCCCCTTTTCAGCAGAGCCCTTCTATACATGATAGGCACATTTGGACTCCATTCTATTGCCTCTGAATATGAAAGCAGCTTCATAGCCACCAACATGACCCTCTGTATCTTTAACCATTATTTGTTTTAAAAAAATCTGCTACTGGCCACAAAAATATTTTGTTGCAATGTCTTTTGCTGTTACTCATTATATAGCATAGCCAGAAGTGTGGCTTCTAGATTAAGAGAGGTATTACTACCACTCTATACGACTCTGGTGCGCCCGCAACTGGAGTATTGTGCTCGGTTTTGGGCCCCTCATTACAGAAAGGATATAGCCAGGTTAGAGTCAGTGCAGCGTAGGGCCACAAGGTTGGTGGCCGTTTGGCAGGGGATGCCGTATGAGGCGAGACTGAGGGAACTGGGTCTCTTCAGCCTGGAGGAGACTCAGATGGGATATGTTGGTGACATACAGGTATGTGAGGGGATGTCACATGGAGATGGGTAGAGACCTGTTCTCTCCTGCAGAGGAAGACAGGACGCACTCCAACGGAGCAAAGCTCAGGGAGCCAAGGTTCCATTTGGATGCCAGGAAGCACTTCCTGACAGTCAGGACCCTGAGGGTGTGGAATGAGCTTCCACGAGAGGTCGTTGAGGCCCCATCGGTGCGGGTGTTCAAGGATAGGCTGGACGTCCACATGGTGGACATGTCATGAGCAGAGCCGGCTGGTGCCGGAGGTCAAACAAAATGGCCCGAGAGGCCCCTTCTGACTCGCTCTGTTTCTATGTTTCTATATGAAATGTTTTTAGTTTGTCTTAAACCTGTTCATTTGTCTTAGTGGGTTACCACAAATTTCTTTATTGAAGAAAATGAAGTCAACCTTCTGGATTTCCCTGTATGTCGCACCACATTCCTTTAATGGGGTGACATAGCCATCATTTCCTTGTGGCTAATGCTAAGTAACTAAGGTGCTTTTTTAAAAATAAAATTGAACCTAACACTGCAATTACATCTTTTTAAAGATGTGTGTTAGCTATCAGATTTAGCTTCCTGCCCACCTTATCAAAAGTGGGCGGGGGGGGGGGGTTGCTTGACACACTGGTCTTGGCACGTGCCTTCTTTAAACCACACAAGACACACTGTTATTCTGCAAAGAGATTTTTACAGAGCAGTAACAGGCAAGAGTGAGTAATGGCATAATTCTATAGATCCAGCAGAAACTGCAGCTATGCAGCCTCTTCTGTAAGCAACGATTTTGACACAGAAACCTTGATTTGTTCCTACACTTGCAGCATTTTGCAGCAGTCGTATGTTCCAGCCTATTAGAATTTACTGCTATTTAGATAGGTTGTCTGTAACAGATGCCTGTTGTAGATGCTCTATAGTAAACTTCCCAGCCTGGTGCCCTCTGAAAGTTTCGGACTACAACTCCCAGCATTCCCTCCCATTTGCCACGCTGGTTGGGGTTAGTAGTTGAAATCCAGAGCAGCTGGAGTGCACTAGATGGACTAGTGCACTAATATTACAATTGCATTTTAACTGTTACAAGACCCAGCTATAGCCTTAGTTTGTACAAAATGCACCAGCAGGAAAGGTTCTTAGCTGGAACGTGGAGTGACTTTCTTTAGTACTTTTACAAGTTGCAGGTGCAACAGATGAGAAGAGTAACAAAAACTGGAGCAGGTTCTGAAAACACTGGCCACCTGCATTCCACTTTTAGAAACAAGTACATGCCAACTTACTATTTGTTCATGCATCTCAGAATGCAGGGGGCACCTGATTTGCTTCTTTTTAAATAATCCTGCAGTAGCAAACCTAGAGCAGCACCACTGAAATTACTAGAACATAACTTCATGACGCCTTACTTCTCCCATCTTCTGCAGAAATAACAAGCATTTCAACCAAATACAAACATCCACTGAGCAGGGAGCTTGGCGGACAGCATATATGCTACAGAATGTGACTTAATTTCTAAGCACAGGCTCAGATGCACCTATGATACTCATCTGGGCCCATGGAACTGGCTGAATTTTTGTGATCCCCCATGAAGGACTGCAGTTCTCACATATTAACTAGAGTTTACTATTCAAGTTAATGACTAGATCAGAGTCATGAACTTGACAGGATATATAATAAACAAATTCTGTAGTAACAGCCTTTCACTCTTTTTAAAAATTAATGAAAATTGCACATTTTCATTAATGCTTTTAATCCCCATATGCAATTCAACAAAGAATCCCTTTGTTCTATAATATTAGTAGTCACAGATCAATGCCAGAAAGCAGTTATATATAACACACATGCAGTTTTATTTACAGATTACCTATTTATCACCATATGTACAACTTCCAGAAAGTTTTTCTGAATAATGAAACACTGTACATTTTTTATCCATGAGAAAGGTGAACTTTATTTTTCTAAGCTTTTACTTCTGCAAACCATATCAGATGAATAGCAAGGCAAAGCAGAGTGAAAGAAAGAAAAATACACTATTCCTTCCAAACTGTCAACATTAGTTAATGCTCATTGTCTCCACTAAGAATTCTGAATAGCTCAACAGCAAGCATCAACTCTAACATTAAATTGAACAAAAATATCACAATCCTGTATACCTAATTTTTCCCATACAACCAAATCAAAATATATACATAGTACAGTACTCTTTTAAATTAATATAATTTCAGGGATAGAAAAATGTTCTTAAGATATTTTTTAACACTAGCAGTTACCCTAGCCAATGAAGAGAAGCCGTTGTTGAGAAATCTCACTATCTTCTGCCTTTAGCATCTTTTACTTTCCACAGCATAAGTTCCATACAAGCAGTTGCATCTTCACTACAATCATGACCACCAACTGGAAAAAAAACAATATCCACACAGATTTAAAGGATAGGACAAAGTTAGTACTACATAATATATATTCAGTGTGTGTGTGTGTGTGTGTGTGTGTGTGTGTGTGTAAAGTGCTTTTTTTGTAAAAAAAAAAAGCTGTGGGAACTCATGTCGTCGGCAGTAAGCACACGACCACACACACCAATCCCAAGCGGAGCAGCATCCCAAGCAGCGCCCTCACTATCAGACAGCAGACACAAAAGCAGCCCCCAGGCACTATGTTAATGATGTTTGCTGCTGATCTGCTAAAATCCATTGGAAAAAAAGGTGTCGGAACACCGTTCCATGACAAAAAAAGCCCTGGATATATACATTCAGTATATTATGTAGTTCATTATAATATATAATGAATATATATTCAGTATATTATGTAGTTCATAATGAAGAACTACATATTTGAGGCATTTGTTTCATGAGTTAATCAGAAAAAACATACCTTAAAGACTTAGAAAATAGTCTTTAAGACAGCTAAAAAAAATCCCTGTGCATTTCCAGTGTATTTAATTGTGACAGAAGAAAACTTGGATAGCTTTTTAATATTTGGCCATATTTTTCCTCAATATAGATATTAAGGAAAAGGAAAAATGTAAGAAATACATATTCTAAATGTTAGTATCATTTCTGAATAGTGTTATCATAGGTAAATAGGTAAATATGGGCACTTGGATGGAATGCTATGCTTGAGCATGCATGTTCCACAACCACAAAACCTCTGCTGATGACAGCTTTATTATGTCAAAATGCAGCGGATACATGCCAACACCCAGCCTAGAACACGGCACACTACCCCACAACCCCGCAAGTGGCAATCCCTGCACTAAAGGGCATTTGGGTTCCGCCCAGGTTTAGCAGGCTCTCAGAGAGGCCGGTTATCAACTTGCACCCTTTCTTTCTCCTTGAATGCCTAATGGTGCTGGAAGTGGAGCCTGTCCCCATTGCCTGCTGGGATTCTGGAACAGTATTTTACAGTGAAATGGAGACAGAGCAAGAGTGCTTTGCAAGCACTTGCGTAAATTTATGATCAATACTCAGTAGCTGTAACCTCATGAGATTTACAAAGATAGACAAAATGCACAGTATAGATGAAGAAATCAATTCAGGGAGAGAAAACAATGATCCAATTTAAAAGCAGACAAGTCATTTAAAACATGATGCTATAATATTTATTTTATGATGCTTTAATATGTTATAATAGCCTCACAAGCTGTGATGTGAGTAAGTACAGAATGCATATACAAACTAGAAGTGAAACCACAAAATACATCGCTGCAGTTTTAGCAGGGAAGAACATAGCTTTGGGGAAGTAAAAGGTAGAACCAGGTTCAGGTGCTATATTACTTTACTAGTACATATGCTCAACTGTCTTTTTTGTCAGATCAGAAACATATATGCATCTTTCTATTTGATAGTTATATTTAAGGATTATGCTGGCTTAGTATGCAACCCCATCAATTTTGTCATCTTCCTTTCCTTCTATTAAAATGTTGAGAAAGGAAATGTTCCTACTTTCCCTCTTATTTCTCTAAAATTAAAATTGAAGATTGTCTGCCTGATTAACCTAAAAAATACTTGGAAAGACTCACAACTTCTGTGTTTTGATTTAAGGAACCCACAGCAAGAACTCCTAACATGCATTTTTATCAATGCAAGTTCTTCATTATGAACTTGGATCTGGATAGAAACAGTAAGGTCAAATTAGCACATGTGAATGGATGGACAAATAGAACTTTCATGTCACTTGCTGTCACTTCAAATACAATCTTTCAGTGCAGCCAGTGCACACATATTCAGCTATCAGTAAGCAAAACGATGAACTTGTTTGCATGATAGGGATCTTATTAAGGAAACCTAAATCTGTTTGGAAAATTTGAAGGTAGCAATGCAGATACTGTTCTTGTGAAAACAGTTCAAAACCCAGCTCTTACACATTCTTACAAAATGGTCTTACCATTACCTTGAATAATTTGTTGAAGATAATCAGCCATTAGAGTTCTAAGTGCTCTTCTATGAGGCAAACCCAACCGATGAGGAAAAACCACCGATATATCCACAATCTTACTATGAAACATCTGTAAGGGAAATGATTCAGTGGCATGAGCCTGTTTGTGAGTTGCCACCCAAATATTTCTACTGTTAGAAAATTCTGAAACCATTTCTCCTTTTATACTCCCTGACATGAAATCACTTGAACTTTCTCACGATCCCCCTTATGTGGTCTTAATGAAAATGTTTTTGAATGTGTTTCTTTTTCTGGAGTTGCCTACACTGTTTCAATGCAAATGAGAGACACTGAAGCTTATGTACAGCAATCACAGTTGGTTCAAAAAAAACCCTCAGTGCTACACTGGTTGCTCCTTTTCCACCAGAAAGTTTTCTATATTTCTAATGACAAATCAGCCTTCAAATTAAAAACCAGTTTTTTTCCCAATAAAGTTAGCTAAATAGCATTATCTTATTAAAAATACTGTTTTCTACTGCTTTAAGATCATTTTGTCTTTAATCAATTTGAAATATATAAACTACAATCAATCACATCTCAGTTGTCAAAATCATATATGCCTTCTACAGCACATATGTTAAATTAGGGAATTCTATAGCCACCAATTTAGATGACTTTAAAATGGTATTAGACAAATTGGGAAGGGTAAGACTATCAGTGCTACTAGTCAAGAAGACTACATGTTACCATGAGGCCCACATTTAAGAAATGCATCACCTGCTTTTGATTCTAAATAATTTCAAAGCAGGCTTACAGGCTTCCCATAGATACCTGCACCCTAGAGAAACTCTCCTTGCATTGTATGCAGTACTTGGAATCATATCACTTGATAGTAAAATCTGAGCAATTTGCATGATAAAAATGCTAGCAAGACTATGTCTGATAATATTTCAAACCAGTGTAAAGATATTATTCTGTCCTATTTACCTTAAGAGCAAATAAGTCATTTGGTAAACTGTGTCCAATTAAAAAAGTGTCTGCACTGAACAGGTTCAGCAATACTGCCTGCACATCCCGAATGGATGCTACAGTATCCTTCATGTCCTCGGCAGTCACACCAGAAAACCTAATATAGATTAGAGAAAGCCAAGAGAAACAAAACATGGATACACAAGTCAGAGAGGTATGAATACTTTAGAGATACCAGGTTCTCGTATCCTACTTAAGATTTATTTGGTTGTAGGTTAGAACCCTGTCTTCCAAATGTGCTGGTTTATAAGGCCAATGAAAAGAAAACAACTTGCTGTCAATAGTGTTTTAACGTTAACCCACTTTCAAGCTGTGAGACACCCTTTTAAACTACTTTCATGGTTTTCAGTGCCACACACAATGAACCATATAGTCCAAATGCACCAGAGACTAGGACTCATACAAATCTTTCACCGACTGTCATATGTGTATAACACAGATGAACATAACTTGTATTACTGTGCACACTCAACAGTATTATTGCTTTTATGTGGTTAAAATATAACTGCTTTTTCAGGTACTCTCGCCATCTACATTTCCAGTTTTGTACCCGCAATGCAAACGGCAGACATACACCTCTTGGTATATGAGACAGACAGGAAGGCTAGCAATTATTTCTACCTATTGACAGGGGCTTCTTTCTGAACTGAAAAACAAAGGTATGTTTGTCATGGGAAGATGGGGAAAATAAGGCTCTAATAACTTTAGATTTTTCTCTGGTGTGAAAAAGTGAGTCTGTGATATAATACAAAAGCCTTTTAGAAAGCAATTTCACTTGAGACCTGATACAGCTGTCAGATATACAGAAGTGACTAGAAGTAACTGTGAATCAGTTGTACATGAAGCTTCAGATCAGAACCATGGTTTAACAACCACTATCTTCAAACTCGATGTTTTGATCTTCAAATACCACACATACCTAGTATTATAATCTATGATTTCATTATCTGGCTTAACAAATGCATCATAGACCACATGAAGTGAAGGATCAACTACCGCCACTCTGGAGAGTTCTAGGCCATGTGTTGTGTAACACTAGAAAAAGAAACAAGTTAAGCAAGAGTTTTCCATTAAGTTCCTGTTTATGCTGTGAATAAAATTTGACAGAAACAAATAATTTTGAAATGGTGGTGGCAGATAATACCACAGGCAATGTCCACTATGCAACATTTTCTATCAATTAGAAATTCAAGTAGAAATGGCAACAGAATGTTTACATCTGTGAATACCCCAGAAGGTGTACAGTGGAATCATGGACATAACAGCTTCTTTTAAAACACAAAGTAACATTTCCTGTCTTGAGCCTTGACAGTAACTGCTGTTGGCAAACATATAAAACATTTTCAATTCATGTTGCCGCTTAACAGACTGCTTGATCTTTTCTACTACAGCTTATTGCAGTGTTTTAAAACTTATTCTAAAAGCAACAATTCTTCATAATTATCGTTATCTGCAATTGTTTTATTACTATATTTATATACCACCAAGTAGTCCAAAAGGCTCTCTAGGCTGTATACAAGAAAATACAAAATAAATACAAATAAAAATGCAAATAAAATAATTTTAATATTTTATAATTAAATATTAAAACCAATAAAATTACTAAAATTCATCATTTAAAATTTAATTAACACTAATAATTTAACAAGGATAATTATAAATCATGTGCAAGTGAGAAGACAAGCATTAATAATAAACTGTTAAAAATAAAGCAGTTTAAATAAAACTAAAAACAAAGACAGTGCCAGGTGAGCTTCTCTGGGGAGTCTGTTCCGTAAGTGGGGGGCAGCCACTGAGAAGGCCCTTCTTCTATTTCCCCTCCCACTCACCTCAAGGGATGACTCCTTCAGAAGGGCCTCTTACCTAGATTTTAATGGACAGGCATGCAGGCAGGCAGGCATAGATGGGAGAAGGCTAGTCCTACAGGCAGCCGTGTCCTAGGCCGTTAAGGACTTTATGTGTCAAAATAAGCAGTTTAAATTGGGCCTGGATTTCAACTGGTAACCAGGTATCTTACACAGAATTGGTGTTATAAGGGTTCTGGAGCTGGCACCAGGTACTAATCGTGTGGCTCTGTTTGAACCAGTTGAAGTCTCCAGATCATTTTCAATAATACCATGTAAGTCTTTTGTAAAGGATCCACTGAGCTTCTTTTAAACTGAGCTCCATACCTTTTCAACAGAGCAATTATGTCTTGCTGTCTAATCTGAATGTGCTGAGCTGCTCTGCCAAGACCTTTCTATTCAAATAACCCTTCCTATTCAAATACTAGAGGATCAGTCTTCATTCCTCTACCTTTGCATTCCTTTATAATTAAGAGTAAAGCTTGCATTTTTACTTGCAGTGCAACAGTGAGCCGAAGTTTACACCAGTATTGATGAACAGCACCATTCACTACCTAAGAACACATGAGTCCACAACTCAGGGACAGAGCATGGGCTTTGCATGCAATATGCTTTAAGTCCAATCCTTGCCAATCTCCAGTTAAAGGGATGACATACTCAGTGATATGAAAGACTCTTGCATGAGATCAGAGGGAGCCAGCACAGAGCAGGGACAGGGGATCAGTTGACTCAGGGCTGTAGCTGTGCCTTTGACTTCATCTGGGCAAAGCACTGAGTGGTTCTGCTTGCACTGAGCTCTGTGCAGCCAAGTGCCCCTACGCCAGGCAACTGCTGGAATATTCCACCAGTGTCTAGCTTCCCAAGGCATTGCCTACCCTGCATCCTCCCCAGTATAGGAATGCACAGCACAGGAAAAATATCCCCAGTCTAAGCAATGGCTGGATTGTTCCAGGCACTACCTAGGAACAGCACACCTCACTTCGTATGTCTTCCCCAAAAGTGGAAGGCACAACACAGGCTTTGGGCAAAACAAAGTTCTCTGCCAGCCCTCATCCTTGCCATTATCTTTCATTGTGGATTCTTCTTCAGACAGATCTGGAAGTGAACTCTGCCCTTGGCAGGATTCTAAGCAGGTTCTGTGGGCTGGAGGTTCCCAATCTTTGCCACAGAGAACAGCAGGCTAAGTGAACAATACAGCTTTCCACAGCAAGTATTTAATGCATGCTCCCTACTCATTCAAGGTAGCTTGTTGGTGATCACTTTCAACACCTCTCCTTGACTTTCCAAGGATTCCTGTAGCTTTTTCAGAACAAAGAAATGAGGCATTGTATTTCCAGTGTGGCATGATCTGGAAGCTTATGTATCTTTGCAATTCTGCTAGAACTCATCTCTACCACAGTGCCACCTGATGACTTTGTAATAGAACATACAGAAAAGCCAAGAAAGCACACCCACTGGGAAAAAATGACATGCCAAGGAACCAATCTTAATCCTGCAAAGAATCTGGAGACTGAAGGCTCAGGAAAGTTGTGGGTTAAAAACTTCATGTAAAGAAACCCACAGTACAAAACTGCCCCCTAAGGTCTAGAGTACACCAAGTATGTCTACAATGCAGGTATATATCAATAAACCTTAATTTACACCACTGCAACTGAAAAAACCCTAGGTCATATGCCTTTTTTTCTTTGTTCCTTCGACATTTGTTATGTTAGCATTAATAGCACTGTTATGCTCATTTACCATGACATGAAGAATTTATTAGTAGATGAGGAGGCATCTGGGTTGGAAATAAATCAGGGGCAAAGAAATGTATAATGGTGCCTCTTGATTTTCAGGAATCCCCCTTTCTCCCTGTCCCACAAGCTACAGTCCCCTGCCCTTCAAAGGCGCTGAAGTGGCTGCCATGAGGAAGAAGGGGTATTAAGTCTTCACCTGCCAAGCCAGTTGCAAACATCTAAATCCAGATTGAACCTATAGATAACAAACTATAAACTTGAACATTGACAGGGTTTTATCTTATGAAACTTTTTTCTTAAAGCGACTAGGCTGCTTGATCTGAATTTCCCAGTAGATGACAGTCTTATTGTATCCTGTCTTTCCTCACAGAAGTCCCAGGGCTTTTCACAACCTACATAAATACGACACACATACCCTTTAAAGGGCATTAGACTACTGATGGGGAATGCACAAAAACACATTTTTAAAACTGAAGCTTTTAAATAGAATGATTATTTCTTCACATACCATTTCACAATCTAATGCAAATACACCATGATTTCCATCTAGTGGTGGTGGCTTGATAAAAGTCTTCACAAAGCCATCAATGTTTTCATTTCTGCCATCATGAACATGTAACTACAAATTATTAAGGAAAATTTAGTTACCATTGCATTTTCAATTTCCTCTTTCTGGGGAAATTTGTTAATCAAATCAATCCGTGTTTACAAAAAAAAAAAAAAAACCTGCATTGAAGGTATTTTTCCTACATTATCTTGCTGTACAGGGTTGGCTACCTGAAAATTCTAGAACTCCCTTCTACATAAAAATTCACCAAGAACTAAGCATTTTTAAAAGTGCATTGCCTGCATACTTTCTGCATGATTATTAGTTAATGCAGATGAAGAATGAAATCTTTTAAGATGAACTACATGATGCACTCTAAATACCAATTTCTGCACTCAGAGTCTCTGGGATGGGGCATGCAGTACATTTAAGGCTACATAAACCTTAATACAAAGAAAGTATAAATGGCTTGCTGCATCAGGTTTGCTGCCTTTTTCTCAGATAAATTACTGGTCTCCATCTAGTCTGCATGTTGAAAGAGAAAGAAAGAAAGAAAGAAAGAAAGAAAGAAAGAAAGAAAGAAAGAAAGAAAAAGACAGACAGACAGACAGACAGAAAGATCAACAAATACTTTTGGACAGCTTATAAGCAGGGCATAAGGGGAAACTATCCTCCCATTGCTTCTACACATGGTAGTCAGCAACTGTGGCACACAGAAGGCACTTTTATTGAATAAACTGTACAGAGCATTCCAACAGGGCCGTCTTAACAGCATTATGGGCCCCAGGCAAAGCCGTGTACTGGGGCCCCTACTACAACTACTGTTAATTTTGGAAGTTTTCCAGCTTTCCAAGGGTTAACATACACAGGCCCATGCGTTAAACGGCCCTGCATTCCAATTCCTTATTCCATTCCACTCTGATCTTCTGAACTTCTATTTTACTATAGGGGGCAGCAGGGGAAACTGTTAAGTGTTCCTGAAAAATACATGCTGTGCCAAGGCTGAGAAACACTGCTGCACAGTTCTTTGGCGATTCCTCACAGTTCATTGCTCTTTGCCTCAATTGTCTCACAGTTCTCTCACCCTTGCAACTTGGCACCCAGGAGAGCCTACCACTCCTTCACAGCAGCTGTACCATGTCTCCAAACCACCAGGAACTATTGCAGAAAAAGTAAAAGGGGGCTGATGAATAATTCAAACCATCCTTTATCCCGAAAAGTACAATTTCTATCTACTGTATTAATACTAATTCTTTTTTCACTGAGCAAAGAGTTCTACTTTAAATTTGCTAAATTTGTTATCAATTTAACAAAAAAAAGAAGGTTGTATTTCAAGGATCACATACAGATGCACTGGAAACTAGATCTATTCACTAGCAATCTAAATATGTTTTGATTTTAATACAAATTCACATCCAGTCTTTGTCCAAGATTACAAGCTACACTTACAATATGTAACATCTAGCTTCCCTATCATGTATTATATATTTTATTTAAAAACTGAGGAGAGTAATAAAGGACCGTGCAAAGTCAAGGGTAAATAGTTCACTGATTATTTTTTTACTGCCAGGTTTCTCAGGATTTGGTTGGGGAAAGCCATGTTCTATAAATTGTTCCTTGGTCAAAGCATAGTCTTTTAGAATTCTATAAAGATTGATTCCTGTAAAATCTTGATTATTCTAACAAACCAATTAACAATAATTTTAACTACACTACCTCTGAAGACTTCTAAAGAATGTTTAGAAAGACAAGAACTAGCACTGGGCCCACATTCTTCTCCCTCACTACTGGCTTCATAATGGTGATGCTGGCTAAATTAAACCTGCAATCCATGTTTTATATGAAAAAGGAACTGTGATTTGAAGTTGGTTTACTAAAGATTCTGGCTTAACAACCTAACTAGTAAACTGACATCAGGCCAAAGTTCTTTGTTTTAGACACAATGAGGAATTGTGATGTAATTTAACTAGCACTGCAGCACTGAGCAAGTGAGTGAGCAAGAAGAGGTGGTAAGATTAGAGACAAGATGCAAAACTCATTCTTGCCTTAAAAATATTAATGAACTGGTTTACCATATCCAAGCCAGTTCAAAATAAGTATATCCGAAAGTAGGTGACTCATTGCTTAACAAAGGAAAATTCAGACAAATGGTTAGAACTTTTTAAACCCTTTACTGTCTATCCAAAGAGTAACCGTCTCGTACCACTGTTTCAGTGGGCATGCTCTAACCACCTTAAACTCACTAGCACATTCAGTCTATGTTTTGGTCTTCTTACCTTTATGTTGTAATACTTTACCAGAATGGTAGTTGCATTCTTCTTTCCGAGCATGCCTTCCTGATGATGTTACAGCATATATTTCTCCACATCTACAACAGACCCTTTTGGAAACTGTAGCCAATAGAGTAATCTAATGTTAAGTCAAAATAGAAGCCTCAAAAATTATGCTGTCCATATACAGCCCAAACCCCAAGTGATACTAGATTCCCACTGATGTTATTAGGCAGCAGAATTTTAATAGAATAGCTACAGTACTACAATTACAGATTAAAATAGCAGTATTTTGGAAGAAACCATTCAGATGTCTACTGAATGTTAGCCAGTATATTTGAACTATGTATGGAACATATGGATAATGTAAGCAATTGATTAATAGTTGTTAATGCATGTTCGTTCAGGCATAGGATGAAACCCAGATACCTCTGCTTCTAAGATTTTTGTTTACCAATATGACAAAATAAATTCACAACACTTACAGTAGTTACACTTCAGTGGATAACATCTAATGCTAAAGGATTTTTACTAGAAAATTCAGTTCTACTAGCTGCGCTATTTTGTTCTAACTTACTTACAATCAGATACAGCTGGTTTTATGGTGCCACTGCATAAAACAGCACTGCCAGGTTTCTCAGGATTTGGTTGGGGAAAGCCATGTTCTATCAATTGTTCCTCGGTCAAAGCATAGTCTTTTAGAACTCTATAAAGAGCAATTCCTGTAAAATCTTGATTATTCCAACAAAATAATTAACAAAACCTTTGAAGAGCTCTCATTCAGATATTACAGTTGACAGGAATATTTTTAGATTCCATTTATGAACAGTCAGGAAAAGTTAGTTTTATTTTCATCAGTTTATGCCTGATGGACCATAGGATATTTCAGATTCCCAGATCTGAAGCTGAAGACAGAACTCTGACCTCAGACCTGGCAATCAAAGCTCTGTCCCCTCCATTCTGCCTCACAGCGGATACAGTTGCTCTCTGTGGCTGGGAGAGTAATATGGGGGGCGGGAAGGGGGGCATCTTAGCGACAAAACTGGAAAAATCAAAACATAGCTGAACTGATGTCTCTCCAGCCTCCTTTCCTCCCTGAGAAACCTGAGTTAGGCAAAAAACCCATCTAGCAAAAATGCACGGCAGGAGGATAGTATAAAAAGACAGCCTCTACTGCTCCTCCCACTCTACACTGGATGCCCTAAGATTGCAACCTAAATTTTCCATGTCTTCTAAATGCTATCGGAGTTGTTCTGGAGGTTGCATACATTGCCATAAAGTGCAGTTCAAAAAGATATTCCTCTATTTGTTTCAGTCCAGCACCACACAAAACAAGAAATGGTACATTTATAGCATTCATCTTTTCTGAATACTTGGAGTCAGGTGATGACTGCATGTATACCAGTTTGTTTTTGCTCAATACAATATGCTCAGTACAAGTTACAAACTATAAAGTATTTTGAAAATATTTTGCATTACTTTCAGGTTTTTTTTATTTAAAAATTATGTCAATTGCCTGGTGACCTCGACTCAATTCTGCCAAACCAGGTAATTCTTGCTGCAGACAGAAAGCATGCAAGGATCCAAAACTTATAGGAGGAACTCAATTGTCACCCATGTTCCTTTGTGAATACGCTGGATCTCTGCTGAAATTAAAAAGGAAAGCCCAGCAACAGAATCAAGAGCACACGGAAGTAACAATTTGGGCAAACTCATTTATAAGCAAACACGTAAGAGGAGAGTTAGAGACCTAAACTAAATTACACGTATGCAGACCCACATACACTTTAAGGAAAATGTTACAAGAGTTCTGGTTCAAAGTTTTCAGAAGAAAACACTTACCCTTTTTTTCCTCTTGTTTTCTAAATCCAGTTTTAGTAGTACTCTTACTGCCAGACGTTTGATCTATATAAAACAAATGTTATTTCCTAATAGAACAGGTGACTTGCATTGTTGGGTTCATTTTTCTACTAAAAATTACATGCAAATTATACATATATAATTAAAATTGGCTTCATTATTATAAATATACTTGTAAGAAATATCAGTTTTCCCATCCACAAAAAAGGAAAAACTTACCAGCTGTTGACACACTGCCATGATTCCTCAGTTTTTTAACTGTGTTCACGGCTATATTCAAGTACATATTTTTTCCACCACAACGATCATATATTGCTTTTTCTTCCAACAGTGCCTACATTTTAAAAAAAAATAACATGACAAACTGCAAACTGAACAGCTGCCCAGATTTTTCTTGTTAGAACACAGTATGAGAAGAAGAAATACTATCAAGCAGCCAACAGAACTGTAAAATTTGTTACAAAAATACAGAACAGGTAGGAAAATATGCATCTGATATTCCCAGGAAGTGACTGTCTTCTTTGTTAGCATCATGAACTCCCCATAAATTTGAAGCAAAGATTAGCATGCTTCTGCTATAAAGATCCACCGAAAAAGTAAACCAAGAAATAGCACAAGATTTTATTACTGGAGGAATTTTTTTTAATTGCTACAGTGCAGCCTGGATTAGTTTAGCTAGGGCACTAAAGATTTAAATGATGACAATATGATTGTATCTTTATTGGCATCCCAAACAATCTGAATTTTTATGAATATATGAAACTGCCCTATTACAAGTCACTGATCCTTGTACTCCAACTTTGCCTATTCTTCCTGGGAATGAATCTCCAAGTGTTAAAGATTATTTTTCCAGTCTTGCTGTCAGAGATCCTTTGACAACAGTTGCCAGAGATTGAATTGGAATTTTTCTGCATGCAAGGCATGCACCCTGCTGCCAATCCAAGGCTCCTTTAAATCCCAGGGCTAATCTGAACAAACTGTCCTATTTGCATTCTAGAATGTTCATAAGCCATTAAACTAAATTTGATGCAACTAAGTTGCAACTAAATAGAACTTTTATTGAAACTACCATAAGCAACATTCCATATAGTAAAGTACAGAGGGGACAACTGTGAAACAAATGGAATTCAGTTTGGAAGTATATTAAATATCCATAATTTAAGCACTACAATCAATCCAGTTTTCAGATACTTTGAATGCCCACAGTAGGAATGAGATAAATGAAGATGGCTAAGAGATGGTCCTGGTGAGATACATCCTAGCTTCTCTTGGATCCCAATGCCTACTATGCCTTGCCGGCTCCTGGCCATTCAGTTCCAAGATAATAACAGATCAAAAGACTTTGTATGCTTTGTACAGAGGCTTGACTTCAAAAGCAAGGCATTGTTCCATTGCTTTTACCTTATATTAAAACAGCCTTTAAAACTCAATGGCCTGAATCCAGTTCAGATGAACCTTTTTTTAGTCTTCTTACTCCCATTGACTTTCAATACAATCATTTTCAAAGATCACATATATGGTTTCCTGTGTAGCACTGATATGTGCCTGCTGGTTGAAAAACAAGTCAAGGGCTCCAAGTAACACGAAGCTAAGCACAGAGTTTTCACAGTGCCATGGGAGATTCATGGATTCAGAGAGAAGCATAGATACTGTAACTTCATTTTAAACCAGAGTCTTTTCCAAAATAATCTCCTATTATTGAAATTATTTGCATCCAGCCTGTTTTCCTAAGATTTTATGTTAATTCATTTTCAGACACTTCTAGTTTAATGTTTGGGTTGTTTGTTTTAGTTTAATAAGTAATCAGAATTCAACACTTAAATGCATAATTATCATTCTTTTCCTAAGTACTTTATTACAAGAGTTTTTTCAAATAGTGTTTAGAAAAAGCAACATTGAATGGAAAGAGACATTTAAACATTTTTTAAAGTCTTTTCAAGATAAATTCTAATTTAAGTACAGATACTGCCAGTCACTTTTACCCAAGAAAATGGAGGACCAAGTTTGTTGGTAGGTTGATGAGAAAGATAAAACGCCAGAGAGAACAAAGATTTTCCTATTGATCTACTAGTGGCCAAAGAAGATACTTTCAAAATATCTTATGAACCTACTGATTAGATCTGCATTCCAGTGCAAGCTGCAAAAGAAGGGGTGAGGGACTAAGACTGACTTCAGAAGTGATTTAACCAGCACTGGATAGCATTGCATGCATCTTTGCAACATGGCACTCAGATGTGATGGATTCTCATATAGCGTGTATGTAACTGTCACTTGAATATTCATTTTGGAATTAATAGCTAATACAGACCTTGTCAAAAGCTTCATTTACTGTTGCACACACTTTCAAGAATTCTTCAACAAAAAAATTGACATATCGTTGCCTTACGCCATGTGGTACTTTGGATCCCACCTCCGGAACTACAAGAGGCCTTCGCCGACTTAACACCTGAAATGTTATTTTTATATGTAAGAAACCGTATCTGAGTAACTCAGAATGATCTAAACTTATTATACTCTTTTGGCTTTTCTTTATAACAAAACATATATTAAGGGTACAATCTAGTCAGGGTGCCTGTAAGCCTCCAAGCTCAGATTACAGGCATCCTATGCAGGGTGGATGAAGCAGTGAAGAGGATCTCTGCCACCCTGCAAGTCGGCTGGATGGGCAGTTTTGGCTGTCTAGATGCAGCACACTGGAAGAGGAGTGAAAAAATATATCATGCCCTAAAAGCACCACTCTCCTCTCCTCCCCCAACAATATCCCTTTACCCATTTCTCTGGAGTCAGTCTTAAGACCCTGGAGAACCCACCAGTGCACGCTGGCGGTGATGGGGAAGAAGGAGATCCAAGTGCAGATCCCCAGCAACAAGATCAGAGCTGGGAATCCACAGAATCTTATGGCTCCCTCATGGCTGCCTAGGTGACTACTTTCTCTGGAAAGCGGTCACCTGTTTTAAGATTTCCAGTGATTTATATGGCTTATTATTTGGTCTTTTATTCGTTCTCCAATAGTTCTTCCTTGCTTGTAACCTCTACATCTAAAGAGCCTGCATTAAAAAAAGAAAGAAGGAAATCTTGCTTATTTCATTGTACACAACATGTGGCTGAAGTTTTCTATTTCTCCTCCTACAGAGTATTATAGATTTAGATTTTATTGAAATATTAAAATAAACTTTGTTCTTCTCTAACATTTCTCAGTCTCAGTGAAGATTTATCTCACCAACACATTTTTTCTCAGAATTCTATATCCTCTAAACTCTGCCTATCATCTCTCATAATATACTATGCTTTTTAAGGATTTCCAGCAACATCCCCATGGGAAAGCCATAATTTTTGCTGCAAGCTACAACAATGAATCAGGTGGAATCAGAGATCAGGTTCTCCTATAAGTACATAAAAATGTGAACTCCACCCAGCAAAATTAGGAAAAATTCACATAGTAAAATGAAGTCATATCACATATTCAACACTTTCACAAAGTTATTGAATATGAGGTCATTTAAATTCAGCAGATTTCTGGTCTTAGTACAAAGAAAATATACCACACCTTAATGGGCATAGGAGTAGTTCTTTTAGCAGGGTTATTGGAAAGCCTGCATGGCACTGCTGTTAATGCATTTTCAGGAAGCAGTACATTCACTTGACTGCTGCTTGTTGCCACAGGCTGAACTTCAAACACATTCAAACAAACTGAAATAGAAAAATGGTATAGTTTGAAGCTACATTTATACATGCATACACTGCTAGACTTGGTTTGGGGAAAATAATCTATAATGAGTGACAGACTTCATATTATGCAGGCTATGTGAAAAGAACTGCCTCTGTGTTACCTTTCCATGTCATGCATAGAGTGCATCACCTGATCTCACTGAATACTGCTATGCTATCACTTGATTAAGGTATATAATTTAAGACATTTAAGGTATATAACAACAGCATTTAAGGTATATAATAATAATGAATAAAACATAATTCCTTGTAAATCAGCACTAGTTCTAACAGTGATACTAGCTAAAAGCCACCCTTCTTGCTTTGGTGAGAACATCAAGTATTGTTAGATGTTAATACCTAAAATCAGTAATTGTTCACATTAAGCTAATTTTTCTAATCATTTTATTTTTCTAGTACTTGTTATCTACTATACTAATTTTCCAGAGGGAGGTCAATATTTAACACAGCAGTAATGGAGGTATGTGCACCTCCAAGACTAAATCAGAGGGACGGATTGGAGATTAACAGTACAATCCTATGCATGTCTATTCTGAAATAATCCACATTGATTTCAGTGGGACTTATTTCCAGGAAGATGTGCGTAAGATTGCAGTCCAATCTGTTGAGGAGGTCCCATAAATAATCTCATCAGGAACTTTAAAAAGTAGAATGGGCCCTCTATTGTTCATACCCACATTACTATCATAGAGGATCCAGAATAGATGAATGTATAGTATACAAAGAGAAGTCTCAAGTGAAATGATTTTGCATAAATAAGTTCCAACATCACTCTAGAAAACAGGATACAGGGAAGTGATACATATTGGAAAACTTCTTCCAGTTTCCTGATCTGCTTCTGGCCAATTTTAAGAACAGGAAGGACTTAACAAGAGTACATATATCCATGGATGAGTGCAACAGAGTCACAAGAGGAGGACCTACAGAAACATCACCAGAGCTTCAAGAACCTCTAAGTTATATGCTGGCTATCACTAATGTGTATGCATAGAAGCTTATAAATATCTAAGTTATCAATGTATTAGCATGTATTTATGCTGACTGTGAGTTTTCTGTCTAGCTCAAAAACATAACTCCTGATTCTCTGTATATCCAGGTAATGATGACTTGGAAGGGAGGCGAGTTAAAGAAATTCCAGTGTAAATCTCAGGAGAATTCACATATTTAAAAATCCTCAGCAGAGAGCTAACTAGGATATACTGATTGGTCATACCCATGTGAGCAGCTGGTATTACAGATGCATTCTTCTTATGGCCACATGTTGCAGCAACAAAAGCTTGACCACTTTTAATAGCAGTTGATACTTGCACTGCCTGTTGCCGTGCTTGCATTATTCTGGAATTCCCCGTCTGCTGTGGAAGTGGTGCCCTAAAGGGGACAGTTATTTCTTTGGTGGTATTGACCTGGTGGGTATCAAAAGAGAATCATTTCTCCAGTAAGTATTATACTGTGTTTACTATTTAAACAAATAAAATGTAAAATGAAGATTGTACATGGGTATCTCAATTTCTTCACAGGTTATTGGCTCAAACTGTTGGGTCCTTAGTTCATTTGCTATTAAAACAGTTATATTGAAGTCAGAGTGCTTTGTGTAGGACTATCTGGCCATTAAAGGTTTCAAAAATGTTGATAAATAATTTGATGTTTTGTTTGTTCACACCGTGCTTGTTGTGAAATGGCTACACTGAAATATAATACTAAGCTAGGATTAAGCATCATATGCACAAGACAGGCCCTGCCTGTATGACTGGGAGTAGAAAGAAGTAAATATTCCATTTTACTTTACCCAATACTTGGCTTGTCATTACATATGAATCACTGTTAAAATAAGTTTTAATTTGTTATACAAGCCAGCTAAACTCTCTAGGGTTTGAACTATCTAGCTGCCTTATTTAGCAGCTGGCTAGGATTTAGTTTAAGCCAGGTTCACGGTTTGCATGCAGACTGAATCCGTTTATTCCAGCAACAAACAGGGAAGTGCACAAGCCCAAGGCTTTGCTTGGGCCCCTTTCTGTTCATGCTTGTTGCATTACAGTAGTGGTAAATCTTAGTTGAGAACAAGGTGTGACCCCCACCACCCAAAGGGGTGAACTACCTCTACAGGAAATATTATTTAAGGCAATATGAAAATCATAGATCATAACAGTGTACATATAATGTTATACACAAATGAAGTCAACACTTAAGTCATGTGATCAAATGCATGTATGGAAATCTAACATGATCTTATGGAAATAATTAATCACATGTTGAATGATACATTAGTGCTAATGTCCCACACTGTCTCTAGGGAAAAATTCTTATGAATTTTGCTTTAACATTTAATTTAATACAAAGGGTCAGAATGTCTTGTTACCTGACTGGTTATATTTCTAAACTGCTGCATCTCCAAATTACATTTTGATATAACAAGTGAACAGACATTTTAACTTTTAGATATTTTATTACTTTATAAGAGTGCAGTAATACCATCTTTTAAAAACTGTAATAAAGAGCTAAATAGATAGATATAATATATAATTCACTGTTTTAATACAGGAATCAATTTATTCTTCTACTCAATAAACCAAAATATTTTAAAGGACATTACTTCCCATAATTGTGCCAATTTCAGTGCAAATAGGATACTATCTGGCTAGTCACTGGAAAATTCAGAGCCCCAGCTTCAAACTCAGAAATGTGATCCAGGACTCTGAATTCAGAGTGTCCTCCTTCTGTCCTGTCAGCTGGCACAGAAACAACTGTACCAGCTGTGGCTCTGAGGCTGCAAGGCAACCCTCAAACTAGTGCTAGGCCAGAAGTAGCGAGAGCTCCACCAGCTACCTCAGCCTGTCCTCCTCACAAGCAGGCACAAAACACTGACACAACCAAAACTGAATGTGTTTGTACATTATTTATTTATTTATTTATGTATTTATTTATTTATTTATTTAAAACATTTCTATGCCGCCCCCATCGCAACCAAGCCTCGAGGCGGCTCACAAAGAATACATAAAAACATAAATAAATAATAATAATAATAAAACAATTTAAAAGAAAAAAACATTTAAAAACCCCTGGTGCATTCTCAGCTAAAAATTTTAAAATCCTAATTAATTCAATAATTTAGCAATTAAAGTAAGTTTTAAATAAAAAGGTCTTAGCCTGGCGCCGAAAAACAAATAACGACAGCACCAGGTGGACCTCTCTGGGGAGCGCATTGCATAGATGGGGCGCCACCACAGAGAAAGCCCTCCTCCGGGTACTCACCCTCCTAATATCATTCACAGAGGGTTCTCGGAGAAGGGCATCCATTGCTGACCTCAAGGGGCAGGAGGGCATATATGGACGCAAGCGCTCCTTTAGATATCCAGGTCCCAAGCCGTTCAGGGCTTTATAGGTCATAACCAACACCTTGAATTGGGCCCGGACTTCAATCGGGAGCCAGTGGAGCTGATGGAGAACTGGGGTTGTATGAGAACAACGCCCATTCCTTGTCAGCAACCTGGCAGCTCTATTCTGCCCCAACTGAAGTATCCGGACTGTCTTCAAGGATAGCCCCACCTAGAGTGCATTACAGACATTTAATCGGGAAGTTACCAGCACGTGTGTCACTGTCGCCAGGCAGTCATTCTCCAGGAACGGACGCAGCTGATGGATCAGCCGAAGCTGAAGGAAGGTGCTCCTCGCCACTGCCGTCACCTGAGCTTCTAGAGATAGCTCAGGGTCAAGGAGCACTCCTAAGCTGCGAACCCTGTCCCTCAGAGGGAGTGCAACCCCATTCAGGACAAGGCCCAAGTCCCCCATCCCAAGGCCCGAGCCACCCACCAACAGCCACCCACCAATCCAGACAAGACCTCCATCTTGTCTGGATTGAGCTTCAGTTTATTGGCCCTCATCCAGCCCATTACCTCGGCCAGGCACCGGTTCAGCACAGCCACTGCCTCACCTGGATTGGTGGAAAACGAGAGGAAGAGCTGGGTATCATCAGTGTACTGGTGATTCCGCAGCCCACACCTCCTGATGACCTCCCCCAGCGGTTTCATGTAGATGTTAAATAGCAAAGGGGACAAAATGGACCCCTGCGGAACTCCATGGCATAACTGCCATGGCGCAGAGCCATAGTCCCCCAGCACCACCTTCTGGAATCGGCCATTGAGATAGGAGCGGAACCACCACCACACGGTGCCTCCAACTCCCAATCCCGCTAGCCATTATGGATTGATTCAGAGAAAAATGCAGCCACAGAAAGACCTGAACTTTTTCCATAATGTAAGGCCCTTCTGTTCATGCAGCAATTGCACGGGATGCTGCAATCCACTGTTATTGACAGCAAAGATGTATGCTTTGGTTAGTTGCCAGGTCATGCCTGACCCATCATGACCCCATGCACAACCTTCCTCCAGGCTCTCCTGTCCTCCATCATCCCTCAGAGTCCACCCAAGCCCACACCCACTGCTCCAGTGACTCCCTCTAGCCACCTCATCCTGACATCCCCCTCTCCTTTTGCCATCACATTTATGCTTACATGATATAGTATTAGCAAATATTGCCCCAAACTCCCAAGTGTGAACTCACATCAAATTTTGCAGTGTGTGCAATTCTTTTCTTCTGCCCAGGAAGCATACTGCTCCGCAAGTCTGAACCCACTTCTGCCTGGGCAACAAGTGCCTTTTTATTAGTGAAAAGAAAGGTAATTAAACACAGAAGGCAAACATTAGCAAGGTACCATTTTTGACAATTACATGGCTGTTTGTAAGGGTTTGGGACAGAAAACACATAAAATTTATTTACATATCACTGCACATGAAATTAGCCCTCAAATTTCTTAATGTCATAAATTTAAGTCTTAAAGAAGTTAGAATGTATTTTTACTACAGTCCTTAATTTAACAAAAATATTACACATTCCCTAGGATTTTTTTTTGCAACTATTAGTTTGAATTTTATTATCTGCTAATTCTGGGTTAAAACCACTTAGGCCTTCCTGCTGATGAAATAGTTCTTATTAGTGGAATGGGCATAATTCCTGCTTTTTGCAGTGGATGGAGTCACATATGCATTAGATTTTGTCCTCTTGATTCCCCATAAATGCTTTGAGCTCTCAACCAGAGCTCTATTGAGATAATCCCCCTCCCCCCACAAAAAACAGTAAGAGAACAAAATTAACTGCAGATATGGTAAAGAAAGGACTAAAAACAAACACTACATGCAAACACAACCCTGAATACCCTTGTCTTGTAAAGCAGGCTCCCCCAACCTGGGCCCTCAACTCCCACCAGCCCCAGAAAGCACGTCAATGATCAGGAAAGCTGTCACCCAAAGCATCTGGAATTACACAAAAGTACCTGCTTTGGCATTTTTTCCTTCTTTGCTTCATGTTCAGCAAATTCATTGAAAATTCTCTGACACTCTTCCATGGTATCTTCTGATTCAGAAAGTTCATTACCTTCTTCAGAGCCATCTTTGTCAGTAGAGTCCAATACAATTATTTCATTCTCTTCAGTATCTATGTGCATATTTTTGTCCCCCCCGTTTTCACCAGAGTTTTGAAGGATGGAAGCTCTATCGGGAGAGATGTGATCACCCAAAGCTGGGGAAGGAAAACTTTGTGCATTACAGACTTTGGGTTTTTTGTGGAACGGCATGCTCCATTCCTCTAAATGCTCTGGTACCTTTTTACAAGTTTTTTGTAATAGTACAACTCCATCTTCTGAACTGCCTTTGTAATCTATACTAGTTTTAGTTGTGTCTTTCAGCAATGCCTTTTTGTTATTAACTTGCTGTGACACATTGTACATTTTAACAGAGACATTAACTGAATCCTCTTTCAAGGCTTCTTTTGTCTTAAACTTCATCTGACATCTGTTACTTTCTTTAGTAAGATGGTAAGATTTTGTTTGATCATCAAGTGTGCTTCCTACATTCAAAGCCCTCACTTCTATGTCTCGTAAATAAGAATCTTCATCTGAAGGTTTTAATTCATTTTTATTCCCATCACTTTGGCTAATATTGCCTAGATCAACAAAGATATCTTCTGGCCTTTTCCCTTCTCTGTTTAAAATTTCTGATGTTCCAGAATCTTGTACAGTTACTACATCAGTTCCAAAACTCTCATTTTCTTGCCTATTCTGTTCTTTAAATATTCTTGGCTTCTTTAATGCATTCTCTGTCAGGGCATCTCTTAGAAGCATATCATCATCTGATTCTGGGAATTTTATTTCACGTTTTATTGGGGAAGCACTTCTCAGCCTCTTTCTTGGAGGTAAATGCCTGTTTCCACATGGTGACTTTTTGGTAGGCCCTTGCAATTTTCCAGAAGGAAACATTTTCACATGCTTAGAGTACTGTGCATCATTTTCCTCTTCTTCCTTCAAGGAAGACCTAAGTCCTGCAGAGTAATTAAGTAAAGGATCATATTCAAGATCAGTAGCTGGACAAGTCCGATCAATAATATATTTACTGGATTTGCTAGTCTCCTTTGAGATTGAAATGACATCATCTTTGTCTCTTACAGGAGTATTACATATACCCTTTCCAGGGGAAATTGATATATTTCTTCTTATGCCATTTGTTGCAAGATTCAAATCATTTTTCAGATTGTCTTGTACCAAACTGTAATAGAGCTTCTTTTGTTGTTCTTCAACTTCAGTCTTAACTGACTGTATTTCTCTGTTGATCCTTTCTAGTTCTTGGATACTGTTACCAAGTCCTGTTCATAGGAAGAATATATAAAAAGGATAGGTATGGTTGATAAACAAAAACTTTACCTATTACAAATTAAGCACTAAAGCATGCAATTCTGAGATTGTGTCTTCAAAGTCTTTTGAAAAAACGGAATAGTTGAGGACATTGTTTTAAGCTGCCAAACCATGATACAGATCCTGTGGTCAGTACTGCTTAACCATATGAGTGTTTCCCATAAGCAATTCCACCAAGGTATTGCGAGAAAGCCAAAGATATACCACTGTTCTAATTCTTACCAGATCTGGAAGCTTTTGAAATGTGAATGCATTATGAAACCCTCAAGACTGTAATTGAGAAGGAAACAGGCACTGAATGCCTAAATACCAACTGTGCAATCCTATACATATCTTCTCAGCAGATAGTTCCACTGAGTTCAATGGGGCTTACCACAAGTAAGTGGGTATAGAATTGCTAATCTTTAATTTATATACTTAGGGATGCAGGTGGTGCAGTGGTTTAAACTGCTGTGCTACTGGGCTGGTTGATCAAAAGGTTGCCGGTTCGAATCTGCACAACAGGGTTTATTTATATTTATATTTATATATGAATATTCATTTGGGAAGCATACCGAAAAGCCCCTTACAAATGATGTTTTAGACATTCTGAAGGCAGTAGCAATTTAGGCAGAAAAACTGAGTTAAATCAAATGTCACACAAGCAGACATAGACCTGTGTAGCAAGATTTCTACTTGCTATTTTCCCCCTGCAGCCCACCTCATGCTCCCAAATCTGCTCCAGGAGATTTCTCAATCACTCCGCAGCTTTAATGGCATGCAGGGGTGAAGCAACAGTCATTCAACCAGCAGTCACCATTCTGCTACTGGACAGTCCTGGATCCAAGTCTATACAGAGGTACATTGTACAACACACATGTTGCTACCAAAGAGGACCTACTCTGTTTTCCCAACAAACATATCATTTCGAATTAGGGAACACAAAACAAGTATTATCAGAAAATCTTAGAAGTCAAGAGAAATTTACATGTTGCAAATCTAAATGTGGAGAATCAAAAGTGCAAAGAAAAGAAAATACTAAATTTAGGTAAGTAGTATGTACTAAATTATTAAAAACCATAAGGAGTTCCATGAGGTTCCTCATGAGTCAGGTAACTAAGCATCAGACAACCCATTCTCAAGCCATGCTTAACTGCTGTTCTCTCTGCCTCTATATATTTATCTTTGACAGACTTTTAAAATCAAAATTCTGCAGTAAGACTCCATATATATAAAATATAGCTCCAATTAGAACATCTATAGACTCGGTCATTTAAAGTGTGTTGCAGAATAGCAGGAGCAGCAGTTTTTTTTAAACAATCTCTAGTTAGATTAAGAATATTAATTCCTGTTGTCTTATTAATGTCCTGTTGACTTAGAGCACCTGGTTAAATCCATTCTCCTTTGCTCTCCGAGACACAACATGTGGATTAACTTGTAAAGAAGCTGATAAAGCCAGTACCTGCAGTATTCCAACTTGTGTTTTATATAATTATTCAGTTACTTCCCATCCCTGTTTAAGCAGCATATACAGCGTACCATATTGGTCTACAAACAGGGCATATCCAAAGCAAGGGCTAGCAAACAAAAGTATAGAAAGTAACTTTTCATTATCCATTAGTACTAATCTGCACAACCACCTGGTTCAGGTTTGATCTGATGATAAATGTTTTCCAGAAATATTTGAGCTGGAAAACTCAGTGTAAATTAGATTTTTAAAGGTGCTGAAAACTGTTGGCACACTAATACACTTTAGTAACCACAGTACTGCATATGCCAACAACCATTCACCTACCATTTTAAAACTACCAAAGCTGCCTATTCTATTTGCTATTGGTATCCATTCATTGTTAATAAATTTATGGATTTTTTTCCAGAGAAAAAGTATTAGGAAAAAATTGCAACCCATATAACTGGTTTCATCTTCAGCACATAGTAATCTTATATAGTTCAGTTGCCATACGCACAAAACTATGGGAGTTTTCTTTATAATGCAGATACTGAAATTAGCGCTGCTACGGATTAAGACATACACTTTCAATTCATGCAGCAAAGTTATATGGATGAGTAAACAGTGTGAAAAAGATATCCAAAGAACATAAAATGCCTGCAAGTAAAAAAAAAGTCACTTTTTCTTTTGTTGACCATTCAGCAGTAATTCAGTGCCATTTCTGAACTGAACCCTATACAGCTTCAAGGCATGCTGTTTATATTCTTTCCCTTTCTATCAAAGCTGAATATTTGTGTTCTTAAAACATGAATTCACGGTTCTTTTTGCTCTATAAGCCAAAATTAAGCGATAATTTAGAGTTATATACTTTTCCTTTATATCAAGATAATCTTCAGAAAGGAGTATAGCTGGTAACAAAACTTATGCATCCTTCAGTGTATCTTTGTACATGCTATTTATGAATCACACAACATTCTATACTGTACAGAATGCTATACAACATTCCTGGGGCAATGTATACTGGGTCTACTAACAAGTCAAAAGTATTGTAACCTGTTAATATGGAAATTACTTAAGGGGAGTGACTCAAATTAAGTTTTATAATTGGAAGAATCCTTGAGCAAACAGCCACAAGGGGAAAAACCATCATTTCCATCTCAATAAATTAACAGATACGGATGTTCTTAAGATGCGTATTGAGATAGCCTCTTCTTCACCAAAACGACTGCACTATCTAGCGTAAATAACGATGCACAGAGCATCCGATGTTTGCTCTCTGTCAGCCCTCTCCCGAGCCTTGCTACCCACCCCTTCCGGGGTCCCATGCAATCCCCCCCTCAAGTACTCACACTGAAAAAATGGAATGAGAAAAGAAACAACTATGTTATTCCCACGGTTTGCAGGAAGAAGCCACTAGTGTCTTGAAGAGCCGAGACTTTGAAACATAGAAAAACTCATGTCAGTACTACCTATATACACTAAGTTTGCAACCAGTTTTTACCACTTCCATCCAAAGCAATCAAGCTCTGAATAAGTTTTAAGTATTCGGTGGGACAACGCTACGGAGGAAGGTGATTACGTTTCCCAAGGTTTCTTTGCTATAAGGAAACTCCTGAGCTGTAAAAAGGTAGTTTCACGGAGGCACGCGCTGAGCTCGAAGTATTAAGATCTGCGCTGGAACAGGACGCGGGGTGAAGACTATTGTTCCAGATAGTTAACTAAGTATTAAGAATTCGGGTGCCTGAATCTGATCTAGTGAAATCTTTTACTGCTTAATCCTACACCCGATTTCCTGGGAGTAAGCCCATTGAACTAAATGGTACTTCTGGATCGGCATATAGAGAGCTGTATTCTTAGTTGCACCGTGAACTGCAAATATATTGTGTTCTCCTTTGGTAACGTATTCATGTTGCAACACCAAGCAGACGCACTCCCTTTCCGACTGCATTCCTAGATGCGAAAACCTTTTAAAAAATATGACGAATGGGAATTACTCATTTAAAAAACTGACTGTGCAATTAAGTACCGTTTAGGAGGGGAGAGGAAAGCCACCTATGCATTAAACTTGGGAGATGGAGGTGGCACAAGGAGGAGAAAAAGGTTATGGGAGGACTCGCGCAAAGTCTCGGGGGATACCGATTCAGCCCCACGTTTGGGAATCAAGACTACCGTGGAAGTTGGCCTAGAGGGTAATCTACAAATTGCTGGGACTGGCACATGGGGCTCCGTGTTGCCCAAGAAAAGCCCTCGAGCAGGTAAGAGACAGCAATGACGAGCGTCCTAAAATACAACACGCGCTTTCTTGCTGCTGCTGCTCCTCAGCCCCGGCCGGCCTGGACTAGCCCGGACCCTTACGCGTGCCAAAGCCTCATGGCTTCCGCCCCCTCACCCAGCACGGGAGAGCCTCTCAACGGCTGCTGCGGGGCAGGGGGCGGCTCCAGGCGGCGCCCCGCCCCGTGCCTGTACTGACAGTGAGGCCGCCGACAACCGCGTGCGTCGAAGGGGCAGCAGAAGCTCCTGAAGTAACCCGCTGGACGGAGCATCTTCCCGCAAGCCGCCCCCACACCCCACAGGAAGGAGCACAGAGGAGGAGGGCGCCAGACAGCCGTTGAGCGCCGAAGACATCGACCGCTTTTCTCCCCGCCCTCCGACGGTCTGTTCAGACGGCCGCGCCGCCTTATAATGAAACGGAGAAACACTTTCCCTCCCTTCCCAGCCGCGAGGGGGCGGGACTCAACGTGCCGAGCCAATCGGAAGGCGAGAAACTGAGGCGGGGGTCTCTCTGTCAGAGCCCTCCTTCGCACTTTGACGGGCGTTCCAGGACCACGCCCCTTCTCCTTGCTGCGCTTTTCACGTGGTTCAGAATCGTTCTTGAGAGGCGCGGTCGGGAGAGAAAAGGAGGGAATTCTGCAAGAAGTAGAAACAGGAATTGCACGGCGTTGGTGTTTAGTTATTTATTCAAGTTTTTTTTATATGCCGTCCTATACTAAAGTCTCTAGACGGCTTACAAAAAAACAACCACATACAACGGACAACACACTGCATCCGACCATTAATGATAAAATCAAAGATAAAACCGATTAACTGTTAAAATATTGGGCAAAAAAAGGTCTTTGCCCTACTCTGAAAAGAATAAAGCAACGGTGTTGAAATCGCGTCTCTTCCTAACACGTTATTTGGTGCGTTAAAACAAAGGGAAAAGGCCTCCTGGTCTAATATGGGTTAAAGGCGATCGTATGTTGGTCCAAGCTCAACAAAGCCAGAAAACTGGAAGCTGAGGCCGATGCCTTAACTCACTGGCGTCGAACCGTTTTCAGCCCCTGAGCTAAAGTCCATTTGGAACAGCTGTGGAGGAAGAGAGGAGCCAGACTCGGGGAGGCTTAAAGTCTCCCTGCCCGACTCTCTCATAAGTGGATCTGATCTGTGCAGTGACATGTAGCCTGGCTTTGTGAGGGCCTATTTGATAACCAAAGTTTAGTAGGTTCCCTTTGTAAAATAAATCTGTCAAAACACTGGAGTTCTGAAAGCATTGAAAGGTCAGAATGAAACTGATTGTGCCTGACATACTTTTGCCAACAGTTTTTCTCATAAACTTTAATAGGGAAGGAGAATCTTAATTTTTGAATCAGAATCAAATTCATGGTAGGCATGTCATGAGCAGGAACAGGGGATCAGACTAGATGGCTTGCTCTGTTGCCCTGGGAGACCCCTTTTGGCTTTCTCTGTTTATAATTTTAGCAAACCACTGAAAGGCAGGTCTCCTGTGCAAACCCAAATACTGTACTGTACTTTTCACCAGAATGTAGAAGAAATACATGATATGGCAAGCCACAAATTAGAATTAAAATCATGAATGTGTGAATTTTCAGAACTTTTAAATGTGCTGTACCTATAGTCATATTTATTGGCCTGATTTGAATTTCTGCAGAGTTGTAGATTACAACAGGCAGAGAACATGGATGCCAAATTTCTAGTTGAGCGAAACTAAAAGCTAAGGTGACTCACACCTTAGAGCATCTCTACAATGTATAATAAAGCAGGTGCTACTTTCTGCCTGAGACGAAAAATTGGAGGGATTTTTCTGAGACAATGTAGAGAAAGCACAGCATGATGTTAAACACTGGTATCCAAGAGCAAGCCGCATTAAATTCAAGATCTGCTTTCTAGCAACTGCAGCCTTGGCCTGTGATCCTGTCTGCCTTTGGAGGGGCTGCCAATGTTTGCCAAGCATTTTTTCATATTTTGGGCCCACGAAATTTTGCAATTTATTGTGGTTTTTATTATTCTTTATACCGCCACCATCTTGTAACTGAAGACAGATACAATCTTTGATGTTTGAAGGGGATCAGAAGAGTGGCTACCTGGAGAAGGGCCTTTTTTGTGCTGGCATCCCAGCTCTGAAACCTGCTCTCCAGAGACGTGCACTTGGTGCCAACACTTTCTTCATTTTGGGGCCAAGCCAAAACTGTTTCCCCCCTGTACTTTAACAATTAATTGTGATTTTAATATTAGTTTTATTAGATTTACATTCTATTGTATGTTGCTGCTGCTGTTTTGTATTGCCATCCTGAGACTCTGGTAAAGGGCCGGGTAAAACTGCTCCAAATAATAAATAAATTCCATGGGAGTGGCAATGCGGAATGTCAGGCAGGCAGTGGGCAGGGGAGTCCTTCCTGGCAAAGTTCAGCAGGTGCTCACCTGTGTTGCTGGTAAGTTTAAGCCCACTGTGGACTCTCAGCTTTTAGAAGGAATGGCATTTTTTTTAAAATCGCATTGCAAATATTTGGTCCAAAAACATTTAAACAACCAGGTCACCCTGAAGTGACACACCTGTCAAAATGGGGGGGGGGTGTCATGAAAATGAACCTTATAACCTGCTTTTGCGGTTTGAAGAAAAACATTTTTTAAGAGTAGAACCAAACCACAGCCAGGCCAGAGTGGATGGGGAGGGGGGGCAGAAAGTGCCTGCCACTTGCCACCAAGTGCTAAAGAGGAACACCTGTATAGGTGTTTATGCAAATGCTGACAACCTCCAGGGCAAAATAGGAGCACTGAGTGCCTGGTTTTAAAGGAGAACCTAGATACTGTGGGCATTATCTGGAATGGAAGGAATCTGAGTGATGTGTCATCTCCGGACATAAATTCTATAGGAAGGACCGCTAGGGTGTATCGGAGGAGGTCTTGCTCTGAACATCAACGAGAGCATAATGTCCCATAGTGTCCTGTATTCTTGAAAACCTAAGAGGGCTCCTCCACCAAAGCACTGTGGGTGGCAATACAGGCCTCCAAAACTAATTCAGTAGACCGAACATGCTACCGTTCCCTAGGTTTGAATCCTAGGTGTTGTGAGCAGGTCCCCCACTCCCTCTTTTCCTCTCCAGCAGAGTCAGGTGGGACTTTAGAAGCACAGTTCTTTTATTAAAGCTTAACAGGTTACAGAACAGTAGTCAGAGTAGCAGCCTCCTTGAGAAGTGGGAGAAGAGCTGAATCCACATAGAAACTTCACTCCTTTTCAGAAAAGATTCTGCTTCAACGTACTTGAAGATTACTCAGAAGCACCATAATTCAAGTTCAGATAGTATGTATATCACAGCTTAGGAAAGGTAGCTCCAAGTCCAAGAGCTCACTAATGTGCTTAATTGGTGGTGACACGAAAACTATTAGATAAAAGCTTCTTGCAGAAAATGGAACTCTTGCCCAAATGAGGAAAACAAAGGGGAGTACAAGCTTGCAAAGGGAGATGTAAGAGAAGCAAAGAAACATTTTAAGGAGTATATCATTAACTACATCAAGGCCAACAGTAAAAGCATTCTTTAAATATTTCAGAAGAAGGAAACCAATCAGAGGGGGAGTTGGACCATTAGGTGTTCATGGAACTAAAGGACTACTAAAACAAGATAAGGAGATTTCAGGGAAGCTGAATGAACTCTTTTCACTTGTTTTCACAGAAGAGAATGCAAAACAGATCTTGAACCTGAACTTAGGTCTTCAAGAAGGAGGCTGAAGAATTAGGACAAACATTGGTTTACTTTCACTCAAGTGAACCCAGCAAAGATAGCTAACTTTGTACTGGTCCCAGCTTCTTTACTTTTAATAACAGCCTAAGAAGTTAACAGGTAAGGCTTACTCCACCCCCCTCCCCATCACTTTCCTACCATTTCAGAAAAGCTTAATGTGCTACAAAAGTTGCTGTTCAAGGATAAATAGGGAGGTCCAGTAAGCAGCAGCAATGCTACATAAGGCAGAACCCACACCAGGCTTCAGTGATTGCTTGGGATTGTAGCATGATAGAAAGAGATTTGCTACAGTCCCATGCAAGTGGTATTTTCCAGCCCCTGGAGCACCTGCCAGGGCCAGGAGAGGGGCCTGCTATCCTCAGCAAAGAATCACTCCTTTGATCTGGTTGGAAGGGGGGAAACCATTAACTTTTGCAAGGAAGACAATGCTTCATTTATCTAGCTGATTTATTGTTGAGAAGTTTTATTCATGTGATCCTATGTAGGATTTGCATTGGATTGGAGAGTGATTTAAAGCATATCTATTTTGCCTCATCATAATATAAAACAATTCTTGTATTTCTTGTGGGCACTTCCTCATATCACTTTTTGCTGTCTCTCTCTGCATATGCCTCTTATCACAGTCATCAGTTCTGTTCCCGCTCAGGCCTGCATCTTCTTCCAAACACCTAATGTCCAACTTCTTATTTCAGAATCTCAGGCTCTGTATCTTGTTCTCGGAATTTCCTATGCAGCCTCAAACTGTGAAGTTAATTCATACTTCTTTTTATTGAAAGAACCATTATCTTATCAACATCAGGGTTTAAAGCCCTTCTTTCAGATGATAGATTCAGTTTTGCTGCGGCTGAAGTTAACCTGGTGGCGGTGCTGGTGGTGGTGCAGCTGGTGCTGGTGCTGGTGGTGCAGCTGCGTCTGGTGGCGGTGGTGGCGGCGGCGCTGCTGCTGCTGGTGCCGGTGCTGCCTCAGGTGGTGCCAGTGCTGGAGCCGCCGGTGCCGGTGCTGCCTCAGGTGGTCCTGGTGCCGGAGCTGGTGGTGCCGGAGCTGGTGCCGGAGCTGGAGCTGGAGCCGGAGCTGGTGGTGCTGGCGCTGGCGCTGGCGCTGGTGCTGCTTCAGGTGGTGCCAGTGGTGCCGGTGTCGGAGCTGCTGCTGCTGCTGCTACTGGAGCACTTGGCGGTGGTGCTGCTTCCGTAATCTTGGGCACGACAGGCACTGACCCTTCACTGTGCTCCGTCTCGCTCTGCTCGGCACTTCTGTCTCTCTCAAAGGTGCGTGCCGATTCATCAGAAAATGTTGCGACCTCATCTATGGACTGTATCATGGGAGCGAACGAGAGTGTTTTGAGTTGTTTCGCCTCGCTCTTCAGCATGGACACGGGGGGCTCATTCCATATAAAACTCTGAGTTCGAGAGATTGTAGAATCCGATACGCCTTCTAAAGGCTGGAAGTAGAGCGGCGCAAACAGAGCTCGTTGTTCAGAAGAAGTAAAGGAGAGGCTGTCCCAATATCTAGAAAACGAAGTGGGGGAG